AGGGATCCAAAGAAATTCAAACTTGTGTGTGTGCGTGTGTGTGTGTGTGTGTGTGTGTGTGTGTGCGTGCGTGTGTGCGTGCGTGTGTGTGTCTTGCTCAGTATGTGCATGTGTGTGTAGATCTCTTGCTCAGTAGAGACAGTAACAAATATATAAGGTAAGGGTTGGTGACATTTTGAGCAATTCAAGCTTTCATCAGATTGGGTATCACTTATTTGTGGATGGTGCACAAAAAAGCACCAAAGCTTAAATTTTTGTCCCAGACTTCAAAATGAGGGCTGCAAAATCAAACTTGGAATATGGGTGTTCAATTCTACTGACAGCAGTATTGATTGAGTTGTACCAAATTCATGAGAGAGACAGATAGATAGATATCTCTCTATCTCTCTTGCTCTCTCTGTACGTGAAGTTTTTCATGAACACTTAAGGGACCAATCATACATTTATTATTTCTTCATTTTATTTTTATGCCACATTTCTCTCAGTAAAGGAAATCAAGTGCAAGTACAATTAAAAAGAGAGTAAGTTAAGATATTAAAAAGTAATTAAATGTGGCATATTTTTTAAAAAAGCTAAAGAAAGAATCTAAAAATACTCATTGTCATTATCATCACCTAGTCCGCAAAAAGCAATGTGCAAAGTGGGCCCTGCCACATAAGAAGGGCAGATTTCCATTGTCATCATGGAGGATATGGAGACCTCCTTATAAAGTTGCTTGGGTTGTGGATATTAAAGTCTTCAGAGCAGCAAGCCAAGGTAACCACCCCAGAGAGCAAACTCGCTAGCTTTGTAAGGTAGAGTGTCACATGCTGGAGTTGATATAACATCAACAGAATCTCTATTCTGTCCTGAAATCAATTACCCCGAGAGATGGTGAGTGCTCCAACAATGGAGGCATTCTAGAGAAATTTAGACAATCACCTGACCGGTATCCTTTGATTTGTATGCCTGCATTGAGCAGGGGATTGGACTGAATGACTTTATAGGTGCCTTCCAACTTCATGATTCTATGATTCTTACTGCAACACAGCAAACTGTAGGACAGGGCAGATGATGAGTGTGGTGGAATCTCAATAGATTACTGCAACTCTGCTTTCTTACCCGGCAGTCTCACCTGCTACTGGACAGAGAACCCATGTGGTCAAAGCTGAGAGAGAGTGGCTCCTCCAACTTTATCCCACCAGGTCTTTGTAGCAAAGACTAATTTAAAGTGATATAAAAGTAAACTTTGACAGATTTTCATGTAGGCTGGTCAGGGAATAAGGTTTATAAGGTAGCTGTGGTTCTGAACAATATAGACTTGGTGTTAAAAGGGGGGGGTTAAAATAGGTTATTGTTGAAGACCTGTTCGAATCTCCTATGATTTACCTTTTATTTTTGTTTTCTCTTTTGGCCTTGGCATTAAGTAAAGCAATGCATTGTTTGACTGGAAATTCTTTCAGAACTTATCTCTCAGTTCATTGTCTCAAGTGCTGAAGCAACTAGAGATGAGTGTAAACTGCCAGTTTGGTGGTTCATGTCCATTCAGTCATTGGCCGAAAAAGTGTTCAGTGCTTCTAAGCCCCACCTCCTCCAAGGGGTGCTCCTTCAGAGGCAGTGGCCTGGCTTCCCAATCCCACCTCCTCCAGGTGAGTGGGCACCTGCCAGAGAAAGCAGGGCTTTGAAACATGAAACACCTGTTTGGCTGATAAACAAACTGGCACAAACTGCCAAATGGGCAGTTATGTCCATCTCTAGTTGGAACGTAAAAGCCAGTGGGGGAGCTTACTTTTCGATCATTTTAGTTAGTAGTTCCCACAACCTCCTTCTGCTTCATTCATACAACAAGAAGAAAACCCTGTTTACCCAACAGATGGGAGGATTTCTGTTGCTGGGTCTGTGCCCTTCCTAGGACTGGAAAATACAATAAACAAAGGTGAGGGGGCATATCTCCAAGCCTTAGAACCAGCTTTGGCATTCCTTAACTGGGGAACCTGCTGGTATATGAACCAAGCAAATAGTTGGAGGACAGGCTGGATTATATCTAAGAAGGAACTACAGTATTTATTTTATTTAACTACATGGTATTACATCTTAAGAAAAGAGTGGTGGCACAATTTAAAGGAAGAAGTTAATGCAAAATCACATCGACAAGTTTCTGGGCACAGAACTTTAAAAACAGTACAGAAACAAGAAAACATAGCCAAGTTATTTTTGGATAACCAGCACAGCCAAACAGAATGATAATCTGTGATGCAAACTAGCTCATTAAGGCCCTAAATCTACTCACAGCTATCTAGTTTTTTGTCACCTGCTATTATCTTGGGATCGCTTCTCTCATAGTCAGCCAAAGAGGGAGGAAAGATCAAGAGGAAGAAAGGAAGCTTATGCTGGTAATTTAAAAAAACATTTAATGACACCTGTGAGGCATCAGATGATACTTTTTTCCAGGTCTTAACCCTTTCCAGTCATTCCAGACCAGCATGCTGCTGCATAATGAAAATGAAGAATCTGCTGTCATGACAACTCCCAAGTAGAGATGCACATAAACCACCAGTTATGTGGTTTGTGTTGGTTTGTTTCTTGGCTGAACAGATGTTCCCAGCCCTGCCTTCTCAAGTGGCTTTCCCTGCCTTGACTTCTCTGGACGCTGCCTCTGATTGGATACCCACTGGAGGATGTGGGGCTGGGAACTGCCAAGTTTGGCTGAGAAATGAACTGGCACAAATAATCCAACTGGCAGTTTGTGCCCATCTCTGGTCCCCAGCCGATGTCCTCAAAGGGGCATCCCCTCCAGTGGCTTACACTTTTTTCTTCCCCGCTTCATGGGCCTCAGCACTCTAGGCCTCCTCTTCCCCTGAGCTGGTGCTGCTGCTCAGCTGAGTAGGACCATAGGTTGTCTGGGGTCTGCTCCCTGGAAGGCTTAGGGTATTGTGGGAAGTATAGTTTTGCTGCCTGTTGGATATAGCTGAGCTACACAGAAAGCCTCCCTTCCTTTACAGGTGGGCTGGAACCAAACAAAGCACAAACTGGTTATCTGTGAAGATTCACAGTCATCCAGGGTTAGATTATCTGGAAGTTGAGACCCCCCCCCCCATCCTTTGTCCATCTTATGAGCCTATTCAGACCAGGGAAAATGAGACCAGTGTAGAGGATACATCAGGTGTCTCCTACCATCTCTCCTCAGACTGAAGAAGCTACTTGGATGAGTAGTGAGACGTTTCAATCTAATGAGAAAGAAATCTAGTGGCCATGACTTAATTTCCAGACACAAACTGATTAGTTTATTTTCAAAACTGGTGTGGTTCAAGGTCACTGACAAACCACAAACTATGACAAGCCGCTATTGTCCTGGCCCATGCCCATCTCTATTTAGCATGAGAGTAGGCACCAACAACAGAACTAAAGCAGAATTCGAGAATCAAAGTAAGCTAAGAACCCAGCATGGATTTTGACCAGGTAAATATGTAAAGTTCTTCCTCTTAGAAGAAACAGTTGCCAACCTGGACTGATGAGCATCTATTTGCATTATGAAAGCCTACAAAGATTCAGAACGAAAGATTCATATTCATTATACACTGATTCATTTGACCCCTTAGTCTCATGTCAAATCTACAGTATAGTCTCTATTTTGCCTTGCTGGCTTTCACGTTTCATGAGACATATGACCTAAATTTTGGGCTCAGTTAGACTGTCTTGACTGGATTAGATACTGTAACGAGCACGCTTGAGCCTCTATTGTCTCAGGCCTCCAAGAGTGCTCACTCCTCTTCTCAAGTAGCTGCCACCACTATTTCAATTTCAATATCAATTACTCAGAGAGACCAGCATTACTTTACAACTTAAACTTGTTTATTTGATCAGTAAAATATAATAAGTAAATCACCAGTTGATAATCAATTTCTCTCACTCACTGAACTCACTAACACACAGCTTCTAATTCTCACTGACTTTCTGGCACCCTGTCTCTCAGACTCACAGAACTCCCTCACACATACTCCATACACACCTATATATCCCAGCCTCTCCCCCTTTTGCAACACCTTCCGTTCCCTCATTGGCTCCTTTTCCACTGCTCAGCTGTGACGGACAGGTGAGGGCAGGGCTGAACGTTACATATACCTTGATGAAAATCCCTCACCTCCAGGTGCAAGTAAGAAGATAACCCTATTTTTTCTTGCAATGTGACTGCAATTTGTCCAAGCTGTTCCTCCACAAAATTTACATCCTTTTCCCTTGAGAAACAATGATGCAAACAACCCTCTGATGTTTTCATTCCTCAAAAGACCATGCAGCATTGTTTTTTGTTTTTGTGTTTTTATGAGTGAAAACAGTATTTGAACAAAATTGCTAAACTGGCCCCCAAAAAAGTTTATTGGACTTGTTATTTTCTGTTGTCATAGTGTCACAAAATACCTCATTTTCCAGACCAGGCGGTAAGAGACATGGGATTCATTGCAGTAAACCATAACCACACTATGCCACACCAACATTTGGTGGGAGGAGAGATTGCCACCATGTTATTTTTGGCCTGAGCACAGAGACAGATATACAGTCAATTCAGCAGCTATTCAGTTTAGGCTGTGGAGACAGAGGTGGGGAGTTCACTGTGCCTCCTTGACAGGGGCTGGACTTGATGATTTGAAGGGTCCCTTCCAGCCCTGCAGTTCTAAGATGATGATGATAAAACAAAAATAATAATGACAGTAATATTAATCGTCGTCGTCGTCGTCGTCGTCGTCGAAAAAAAATAATGACAGTAATATTAATCATCATCATCATCATCTCACCTGGTCTACATCCTGGAAGCAAACCTGGAATGATAGGAATGTGGGGAAAACATTTGAGTACAAGCCACTATATGACCTCCTTTTGTTACCTGTAAATTAAGTGCCTTACTCTTCTGGATTCCTTTGGGTCTGCCAACACCCCCTCTCTGTTGCAATGTAGAACAAAACATGTAGAAAGTAACCTGAAGATCAATAGACAGCCAACTGTTTTTTCTTTCTTGTCTCTTCTAGCTCTACATTGGGCTTCCTTTCTATTTCTCACAGTTTTTCCTTGCTCCTAGTAATGGCTGCCTGATTAGACTTGAATCAGTGGAAGCTAGCTCTGGGCTTCCATTTCTATATCCCTATAATATCCCTAAAATGGATTTCACAGAGGACAGTGAGGCTCTTCCCTCGCCCCTTAATACCAGTTTTCAAACAGGTCCTCAGTAGTCACAGGCATTCCACTAGGCCACTGCACTCTGCAGGATTACATATCAGAACACCTCTTGCTCCCTACTGTCTTCTAACTAGCTCACAACAACAATGAACACATTTTACCTCCTGAAAGTCCTTTGCTAGCTGTTAAGAAGAGCTATAACATTCATCAGTTGCCTGCAAAAGCAATATAATTGCTATGTTTATAGTTTTTCTAGATAATTCATTAAATCCCATCAACCTTGAACCACTGGAATGAATGATGTCTTCTGTTGTATTACCCTTGGACTTGTTTTTGGCTCCCATTAAGAAATATTAGTAGAGAGAGATGCTTCTCTACTTTTGTGAAGTGGGATGTTGTGGCTCTGTTTATTTTAAGAAATTGTCCCACTGTAACAATGTTTGTTCTCTCGTCAACTTCAGGAGGCATTCTAACATCTTTAAAAGGAAAAGGAGGAAGTGAGGGAAACCAACTCTCTAGGATATTTTATATGTCTTCATACTGTTGCTTCCGCCGCCATTCCTAAATGTTTCATCTTTGCTACCCCAGGCATATTTCTGTTAGTCCCAGATAATGGATTAGGTATTAGAGCAGCAGGCACAATTGCAGAGCCTAGAGTAATATTCTGTGGAGGTTCAAACTAAGAGCTGGTTTTAAAGATAAAAAGCTTCTGATCGCTGATGCTTGTAGAAGCTGTTTTATGTTGTCTTAACATGATGAACTAAAAGATTTTCTTGTGATGTGAGATAATCATGCGTCATCTAAAATAAAGGGTTTTATTTTTGTTTTATTTTCTTCTGAGTAAAACCTGGGCACAATCTGAAATGGGGGTACACAGAGAGGACTTCTGCATAGCTGCTGTTGTATCTGCCAGAAAAAGAGCAACTGTATGAGCCTTCCCAAGTTTCATGACCTTGGCCTTTTCTAAGTCTCAAAGTCCTCACCAGCACTTGTGAGGTGGACAAAAGAAAGGGCACTTCTGCCGGCTACTCCCAGAGGGTTGAACTCTCTTCCATGGGAAGCAACGCACCTGCTGCCCTGGTGCTCTCCTGTCACTTGTGGGCAAAGACCTTTATTGTACACCTGTTTTCCAGTGAGTAAATCATTGCCACTGAAGGGGTTTTTAGTGAAGGACTTGCATCTTGTATCTTTTTAAATTTATTTCTTCTATGTGGCCTCTGTGAATCCACACAACTGGGTATAAACTGTGCTTGCACTGGATCCTTGGAATATTCTAGAGCTTAAAAAGCAAAGAAACATAGTAGCACGTTGTCCCTTAATACGCATGCTCCACCCGCTGTCACGTTTGGAACCTCCTTGCTGGAGCTATTCTTTGTTTCAGATTTGGGTTTTTAGCTAAACGATTTTATTACGGATTATGTTGACTTCAGCTTGTCTTTTGGACTGTTGTATGTTGTTCCCTGGTTTGACTTGGATCGTTTACCATTTACTGCTTTTTCTACATGGACTACTTATTTCATTTTTCTCTCAGTTTGACTCAGACTGTTTTCAGCTACTGTTTCCCGCCTTTTCAACACAGACTACTATTCTCTTGGATTGATTGGATTTAGACAGTTTAACGTTTCTCCCTTCTGATTAGCGATTTTAACTTGTTTGCACTATCACCTAAGATTTTGATCGCCATACCATGAGTTACTTTGTCTTGATCGTGCCTTGGGGCTTCCTGGTTTATGGTCTCCTCAGGTCTCTTTAAGCAGTGTGTAAAGCTAAAATTCCTTTTACTGATGGTCATGACAATCACCTGTATTGTTTGGGGGAGGAACATCAACCCCAAGCCTGCCCACAGTGCCAGAAGCTCTCAAAGCCGACATTGAAATCCCACGAACAGAGACTTAAGGCTTTTCTTTGGAGTAAGTCTTTCAACCCCCGCCAAACCTACTATGGACCAGATTCCATCTCAGACACCTCCTCCCTGTCCTGAATCCATGACACCTTCATTACCTTCTAATTCTTCACCTAAATTACCTCCGAAGTCCTCCAAAAAGCCTACTAAGAGGTCTTCAACTCTCTCCTCTGGTTCAACGTCGAAGCATTCATCAACAGAAAACCTGAAAAAGATGAAAGTTTCAGATAAGCCTAATAAAAACAAGAAGGACAAACCCTATAAGGAAAAACCTTGTGATATACCTCCAATCTCGGCATCAGTGCCTTCACCGATATTGGAGGAGTTGTCTATAGACATGCCTGATGACTATGTCTGAAGGGGATGCTTCCACTCGACACCAAGCGACGCAGGCTTCGGTTTCAATACCGAGCCTTCCCCAGTCTCCAGATTGGATACAGGCTGAGATTATCTCTAGCCATGATTCTGCCCATTCTAGCCCTGTATCTACCAGGTAGGTGACTGTGATAAGGCGGTTGAATTCAGAAGAATCCCTGCACCAGGCATTGCCTAGAAATGACCGTTAAAAGAAAGCACATCTCTCCTCTTTGACACCAATCATCACATTGAGTGTGCTGAGTGGGCACACTCTGGAGGGGGCAGGGGGCTGAATTGTGGATCAGCTGTTCAGTCAGGAAAGAAACTGTGACAAATTGCCAAACCAGTGGTTTGTGTCAGTCTCTAGTCAGCAGTTATTTCTTCTCTTTGTCTCCCCTTAGCACTTCTCTGTCCCGTCCATGCCATGTACCATTTCCTTGTTCTTCCTCTGTCTTTGACTTGGTGTTGTTTTCAATCTTTCTTGCAAAACTGAGCTCATTTTGACCTTTAGCCTTTTTTGTTTCTCTCTTGGAAGGCTTGTTTTTAGGGGTGACTACACTGACAAATAGTATGGGAATTGCTCCAGTATCAGAATGGTTAGATTTGTAGCATTTTCATTTGACTACAGGAGGTATATAGGTCGATGTGAATCAGCACAGACTTTTTCAACCTAATTTATCCTTTTTTCTTCTGCTGCTGGACCTTCTACTTTTTTTTAAGTGAATGTATTTACATGGATTCAGGCATGTGTGATCCACCATGCTGATGTAGAAAAGCAGAGGGAGCATTTGCAGGGATCTATTCAAAGAGGTACAGGGGTTGTGTTGAAGTCGATGTCTTAAGTTGGTGGTTCCCAACCTTGGGTAACTAAAGTGATCTTGGACTGCAGCTCCCAGAAACCCCAGGCAGCACAGCTGGTGGTGGAGCCTTCTGGGAATTGCAGTCCAAGAACACCTGGCTTTCCCAAGGTTGGGAACCACTATCTTAAGTGGACTGTGTTCTCTGCAACTCTGGAAATAATCACGCCCACAAGCGCTCTTCTTTTCACTCCTGAATGTATTTACAGTATTTTGTTATTGCTGTTGTTAAAATTGTCCACTCTTGCTCTAGATCACTGGTCTCTTCAGTGCTTGGGTACTTCCTTTGCATTTATTTCCTAATTACTTCCCATGATTATCTCCTTTACCATCCATATCAGATCCTTCCATGGTGCAATATCAGTACTGCTATGTTTGGCTCCTTTCATTTAAAAATGAAGGGGGCTTAGGGCCACATATCAAGCTGCAGCATACAGACATCTGATAAGGACTCTTGAAATGAAGCTAATTCCGCTTATTTTGCATGTGATCAACAATAATGCACTTAAAGCAAATTGACCTACAGGAGATCTGAATCCAAATGATTTGGATGCTTAATGTAGTACCACCTTCATCTGTTCCAAATGTTCTCGATGCTGCTCATCATTGGGTGGAAATGATCCGATATATTTATCAAATGTACTATGGTGTTCCTGACATGAAGAAAGAAAGAAAGAAAGAAAGAAAGAAAGAGTTCCCTTTACAAATATTGGCTATTAATTTGTTCTCTTCCTTGGTTATTTGCCCCTCCTTTTATTTATTATATATGCCATTTTTAATATATGAAAGACCCTTATAAAAAGCCATCTTGCTTTCCTTGAATGCCTCTTACTTTTTTTCTCATAGGAATTAATTTGTGATTTTACATCTCACCCTTAAGCAACTCCCAGCCATCAGACTCCCTTCAATTTGAATATTTCTGATTATGGGATATAGCCTAGTAGTTCTTTTAGCTTACTAAAATCAGCTTTTTCCAAATCCAGAGTGCTCTTTATGCTGTTCTCAGCTTCCAATTTTCTTATTGTAATAAATCCAGAAGTTAGCCATCAAATTTTCTTCAAAATATGTTTCAGCTAAAGAAAGAAGGGACGCAGGATACACGCTCCTTGTATGTTCCTTATGTAGACAAGTTGTTAGATGGAAGTAGAACATAATCGGTTCCAGGAGATAATGTTGCTTCCTTTCTGTCTAGGGAGTAAAGCTTGACTGAATTCTGCCTCTTGTGTCATGTTTCAATAAAAATCTCTGTTCATTCTTGAGAAAACAGACATTTCCGGCTCAGCTGGGTGAAATTTATGTGATCTGGAGCAACAGGAAACACTATGGCAAGAACGACATGGTTGGGGAAGAAAAATATAAGAACTTGTCTGGGTCTGATAGTTCTGTGGCCGTGGCGAGCAGTGTCTAGAAAGGATGAGTCAATCAACGCTTACTTCATCACTTTACCTCTTCGTGTATTCCCCATCATTTTAACCCTAAGGGGGGAAAGTACCTGTCTCTGCTGTAACTATTACACAACCCTAGTTCTATTTCTCTTTCTCCCCCTTAGCGGTTGATGAAATACAGAGTCACAGTAATTGCTTGTTTCTTTGCTTACTTTTCCAGATTTTCTGCAGCTGCACTTCTTGGCAACATCATATTCTTTGCAAACCCTGCTATATATGACATATCCTCAGATATTCCCTGTGGGGCGGGCTGCATGTATTGGATTCAGCAGGAGAGTGTAACACCTGCATTTCTCTGATGGGTGAGAACTTCAGAAAAAAAAATGAAGTTGTGTTCTCATTCAGACTGTGTAAGTCAATACACAAAGGAATCATAAAGGTCACAGACAGCAATGCTGAAGCAAAACAACATTAATGCTTAATAACATTGATCAAAAGACAGCCAGAAAAATAAGAGGGGAAAGGGGATAGCTTGGAGATATTTGTGGATT